TCAAAGGCTAAAGTCAAAAGTTAAAGTCAACAGCCTGAGTTGACCCAACTCACCGAGTTTATCCTTCAACTCGTCGAGTTCATCGAACAATCCTTGAATTCGGGAAAAGCCGAGCCAACTTGTCGAGTTTATCCATAAACTCCCCGAGTTCACCCGAAACTCACATCTTAATACATTAAGTCAACATTATCGACTCCAAGGACTCCACAACTCAGATCCCGACCAATATGAGATCAAGAAGGGTAAAGTTTCCAACTTTACCCCTAGGAACCACCTAAAAGGGCCCAAACCCAAACCCTAGACACAAAAGAGTGAGGGCTTAACCATTAAGCACTTAATCATTAAAGACAATACTCCAAAATGCAGATCCGACACCATAAGGCTAGATAGCCACGTAAAGTTTCCATCTTTACGCTTAAGCATGATTAGAAGGAGCTCAAAAGCTCAAAAAGGGCTAAATGAAAGACTTAATGGATGTATGATGTAACATCCCAAATTTCGAGTCCAAAAATTTCATTTGTAATTAAGTAATTTATAAAATCGTTTACTGAAAACATTGTCAATATCATATAAATCCATAAACCATCGTGAACATGTCTCAAAATCAAAACATCTAACAGTAATATAAATCAAAGTACAATCCCAGAAAACTCATTGCGGAAACCATGTGTGTGTGTGATGCGCTGCTACGCCGCCGACTCCTTCCCCTTGGATGAAGAGGTACCTGAAACCAAAACTGAAACTGTAAGCACAAAGCTTAGTGAGTTCCCCCATCATACCACATACTATACAATCATACAAGTTGCCAGACAATTCTGGGGTGCCCGACCTACCCATGTCAAGCCATTCTGGGGTGCTGACTACCTGTGTCAAGCCATTCTGTGGTGCTGACTACCCGTGTCAGGCGATTCTGGGGTGCCTGCCTACCTTCCGGTCTATCTCACCCAGTCACGGGGACTATTTCACCCCCTACTACTCTCACATAATAAACTATCATAGACATGCTGTCAGATATATCTGGGGTGTCCGACCTACCCTTCGGTCCTAACAACCGATCGGGGGACTATTCCCCTCGCACTACCACTATCACATAATACTTAGCATACTGGCACATAGAACATATCAGGTAATAGCAAACCATACAATTATCACAAAGACAATCATCTCGACTGTAATCAACTACTAGTGGGCCGACCTTGGTGCCTTAGACCCATTTCTACTGGAAGGTAACTCACCTCAATGTCGCGTAGTGTCTGAACGGTCCCCGGCATGAAAATCGACTCTCCTTGACTCCTTAATCCCTACACGACAACTCTACTAAGTTATCAATTCGAACTCACAACCCCAATAAGGGTCAACCCAAATCCTGGTCAAAGTCAACTTTGGTCAATGTCAACCTCCAGTTGACTTGACTCGCCGAGTTGGTCTACCAACTCGTCGAGTCCCTATTTCTCCAAAATGATCCAACTCCCGACTCTACTCGTCGAGTCTAGCAACAAATCGACGGGTCCTTCTTCAACCATAATATCAGGATCATCTTCAACCGACTCGCCGAGTTCCCCTTGAACTCGTCGAGTTTATCTCCCTCATAAGAATGTGCTCAGTATATGACTCGCCGAGTTGTATGAACAACTCATCGAGTCTGTTCATACACTCGTCGAGTCCTATGATTTCCAGGTCCAAGACAAACCCCTAGCAGGCTGAGTGTTCCTTCCACTCAACCAAAACCATTTCCAGAAGACGTTTTGGGGAAAAAGCGTCCCGAATCGCCGAGTCACCCAAGTGACTCGCCGAGTCCCTCTTGTCCAAAACTATACAGTCGATTATAATGGGTCTTAACACGTCAAAACCATAGAACTGGTCTCCTAGGGTCCATTTTATACGTAAAGCTTCAAACTTGATGTACATTCATGGGGCCTTTGGCTCAAAATCCATAAAAGGAGGTCTACAAGATGCATGAGGTGTTTATGGCAACAAGGTTGGCACCTTTATGCCATAAAGACCCCCAATAGCCCCAGATCCAAAGTGCAACTCTAAGCACACCCACAAAATCCGATTTTTGCTACTCTATACTCATAAAAGGGTAGAAATAGCCCCAAAACAAAATCCAAGAGATAAATGGTCAAGGTTCCAGCTTTTTACCTTGAATGAGCTGAGAATGAAGTAAACTTCTGGATCTCCTTGCTTCTACTTGAACTTCCAAGCTTCCTTCTTCTTCTCCAACTTCAAATACACACAAGAGGGCACCACAAGCTCAAGAACACTCAATAATGGTTAGGGTTTCGAGTTAGGGTTTTCTGGAAGTGAAAGGGACGATGGAGGCTGATATGGGAGGATATAAGTTGTTTAAATAGGGTGCAAACCCTCAAATTTAGGGTTTCACCCAGTTAGCTCCTACTCGCCGAGTCGGTCTCCCGACTCGTCGAGTAGGTCACTTAAAATCCACGCGCAAAGCTGAGTCTACTCGACGAGTTAGGCCTTCAACTCGCCGAATCCCAGGGTAAAATACAATAATACTTGGAATTAAATACGTACCAGGAACCCGGTGTTACACATGAAGCCCTTAAACCCATAAAGCTGGCACGTTTATGCCAAAAGAGCTCATGAAGATCACAGATCTGAAAGAATAACACTTGGGACTTCTACTTCCCCAACAACTACCCATCCATGGCTAAAAGCATACAATCTAACCCAAGAAGAGATCTAAGAAAATATTAAACAAGGTTAGAACTTTATAACGAAATATGCTGGAAATGGTGCATAGAATCAAGATCTGAAGGCTCCTACTTGAATCACCACCTTGTACCAAACTTCCCTTCCTTCAATGAGCTTCAAACACACCAAATCACACCCACACTAAGCTCACAACAATCAAGGAGACTCTAGGGTTTCGAGATTGGGGTTAGAGGCTATGGAGGCTGAAAATGAGGCCAACACCTGGGACTTAAGGTGTTTAAATAGGGTGCAAAACCCTAAAATTAGGGTTTCTCAATCAACGTCCAACTCGTCGAGTCTCCTTCACCAACTCGCCGAGTTGGTCCATAAAAACGCGTGACCCAAAAGCCTCCAACACGTCGAGTTTCCCACCATCAACTCAACGAGTTGGTCCTTAGAAAAGGGGATTTATTCCACAATTGATCTTCTAGATTCCGGGTGTTACAACAGTATTCCAACAAGGGATGACACTATCACCGAATAAGACAAAGTAAGGTGTCAGTAGGGAGGTGAGAAAGGAAGGGTGTGTCATATTTGATTTGGATGTCTAGTTCGATTCAGGTTTCCACTTTGGAGGGAAGCATGATTGAAGGGGGTAGGGAGATAGAGAAACATACACATATACACAGTAAAAGAAATAAAACCCCCATTTGTTCATCAATTTATTGAGCGCTCCTTGTGCATCAAGAATACCCAAATAAATACACATGCAAGCTCAAAACCCATAACTAAAATATCATTTCAAATCATCTGCCACTACCACCTGTTTGTAACCCAAACCTGATTGATGTACAAATCCTTTTTGTGGCGGATTTTAAGTTTAGGGGTTTTGTTAGTTTTAATATCGGTGCACGAATGAGATTTTTGCAAGGAGAGAAACTGAAAAACAGGAGCTATGAGAAACACATGATCATGAAGTTGATTTTTGGTTGTGGTGGTTATGGGGAAGATGAGTTTACAAGATTTAGTTATGTGTTTTTATTATCTTCAAGTAGAAAAGGCAACAAAAGGAAGAAAGTGATGGAGATGGGGGAGGATGTAAGATAGTACAAGTTAAAAAATGATGGCATAATGTATATGTGTGTAGAATTTACTCAAGGTGAAGAAAAGATGGAAGAGAGAAAGAGAAAGTTTTTTTTTAATTGTAAGATAAAATGAAGGGTAAAAATGTATTTTCACTCGACTTAACATAAAAAGTTTAATAGAGTTGATCATAAAAATCATTTGCGTCTTAAGTTTTCTTCAAAATGACCATTTGTGAGAAAAATGTTTGATAATGACTGTTTTGGGCATGGTTCTAAAAAACGCGCAATGGCGCGCCTCAAGGCGTGTCATGGTGTGAGGCGTGTTGTAGCCGTTACGAAAACGTATAAGACGGGTTTGTTAAGCGTGATGCCTAAATAACATGTCAAGGCGCGCCTTATCCCGATATGACGCGATTTTTTTCAAGGCGTGAGTTTTTTTTTGTTTTTTTTGATTTTTTTATCGGGCCTAAAATAATTGAGTTTTTGTTAACTTTTTATATTAAATACTAATATAACACTTCTAAAAACTTGATATACTTGATAAATCAATAATTATATGATTTATCTCTTTTAATATATATAAAATAGTCACGTTTGAAAAACGTAATGGCTCGCAAAGGCTTGTCATGACTTAACTTTTACCTTGCCGCCAAGGCACGCCTCACGTTATTTAGAACCTTAGTTTTGGGGAAAAAATTTAAACCATAAGCATCATTTGTGAAATTTTGTCTAAATATATACCTAATAACGTATGTTTGTTTTTTCTTAAAACACGCGATATTGGTTAATTTTACTTTAGTATAAGCAAAAAAATTGAAGTGGTCATTTTTCTTGTTTTTTTGCCCGGGGTCCATAACATGCTTGGGTAATGCTCTTAGCCTACTTAAACTGCTGAAGGGGATTTAGATACTAAAATAAATGGCAATGGTTGTTCGAGCCATTACTTATATTTATGAGAAAAGGATAAGAAGTATGAACAGAGAGAAATCATAATTGTTTCTGACCGAATACTAGTAATTCATACAACTGTAAGTTTTCTATTCCATCCTTTTTGTTGAATAAAATTTTCATCCGATCTTCAACAATAAACGATGCATATCTTCAATATATAGCATTCGAATTTAGGAAACGTTATGTTAAAGCTAGTATGACACCTTTTAAAGAGCTAATCAAGGTATATTGAAAAGCTACGGCAACATTCTTTAAGCTAATCTACCTAGAACATCTAAAACTAGATAAGTAACATATCGACTATATATTTCATGGGTATGAAGGGAGACCAGCCCAGTTGTAGTACGATTGAGTGGGAACCGCAGCCCCATCATAGTTAAGCATATAGTTGCATTCACCAGCAGCCACAGCAGACGATGGGGTAGCAACAGCTTGGTATGAAACATTGTTGGAGCTGCGAATGGCGTTCACCGATGTACTCTCAACAGTAGTATCTTCTCCGGTCATGTCTGAGTACCCTGTTGCAGAAACTTGTGCTTGTCTCTTACTGCCATGTTCTTTGAGTATAGCTCTCAATGCTAGTACCTTAATCAAGGGATAAGTAGGTTAGCATCATTCTTTATAGTTAATATTTAGAATTAACACAAAGAAATTACATATTTTAGCTAGTGTAGTTATTCGCCCATCGATATCATCTAATAAAACCAAAAAAAATTGAATCTGACACACCACTGGGTCATTTACGAAAGGCTAAACTTTTGAATATGGTTTGTTTTCAGTTAAAAATAAAGACAATATGCATGGTTACTTTATAGAAGCGGAGATCAATAGACCATGGCATGCACATATATACGTACCTCCTCTTGAAGCTGTTGCTTCTCTCGGAAGACAGCATCGAACTCTTGTTTAAGCGCATCATACAAACGCTCGAGCTGCTTAGCCTTCCAACGAGCACGTCTATTTTGAAACCAGACTGCAATTTGTCTGGGCTGTAGTCCTAGTTCTTGTGCCAGCTTCATCTTTCTTTCAGGGTCCAGTTTGATCTCCTCCTGAAAGCTGTTTTCCAATGCCTCTAGTTGTTCACTTGTCAATCTTTTCTTCTTGTCCTGATTGTTGCTATCGTAATCAATTTGGCTTAGATCCATCATTGGTAAAGATGCCTGCTGCAACATCTGATGCTTCATATCTGACCCCCCTGTTGTCATTGTTTCAAAAGTTAATAAGTGGAAGCTTTACATATCGACCCCTAGACCATAGTGCCTTGAGCCTGTTCTAACTTCTAATTGTCCAATAGATTATTACAAAGTTACTTAATCTGATAACATACAAATTATTCATTTTGAGTACTTTTTTGAACATCATACATTTGATATAAGTAACTTGAAAGGAAAGGCACAAACTGAAGCAAAACAAAGAAAGTGAATTACCAGGTGGGTATAGATAGGGGTCGACAGTGTTATAGTTATACAGAAAGGAAAAGGGACTTTGTGCATTCCGAGGAATAAAGGGAATGGGGTTGCTGCTACTCCACTCCATTTGATCGACCCTCTTCTTGGTTAACAATATCTACCTTTCAATAGCTAGCTGAGTTTAACCTATTTGTAGCTGGGATATAATTAAGGTGGTGCTGTGATTTGTGAATCATTTTCATGCAAGAAAGCTGTGTATTTATACGACAACTAATGGGACATACAATCCAAAGGGTGAGACAAATAGACATAGGTACTGGCTGTGTGGTGACTGGTGAGAATAGGTTAAAAAGGTAATAGGGTAGAAAAATATAGGATTTGGGGGGTCACAATCTGGTCCCCAATGGGAGTTAAGCACCTAAGTTTATTGCGCCTGCATGCACTTTTCGCTGCCAATATGCTTCTTTTTCCATGCCTGCTCTGACTCATCTACTACAGTCCTGCACCTTTTGAATCTCTGTCTCTCAAGAGAGAGAACAAGGCTGGAGAAGATCAGTGGGATACAAACGTAGGATGCGACGAGCATGGTAGAGATGGACATTAATGAAGATGCTAATACGTAATGAGTACGTACTCTTAACGTTTATGTTTACAGGAGGATGTGTAACTTTAGAAACAACCAGTCAATACTCAATACATTTATGGAAAGCATGACAGAAAACAATGGAAAACGTGCCAACAACAGATACAAATAATGTTGGATCGATGTAACAAAAGTTACATAGCTCACTACCACTACAAGTATCAACGTAGCAAATTTAAATGGGCAATTAATTGCGTTGTTAGGGATTTTGTTACTAGTTTTCCCCGATTCAATTTGAATTTTATTCATTTTTTAAAATGTAAGTTTCATGAATCGCGACATATGAATTTGCCATTATCATCTTGATCATCTTTACTAAAATCATTTTAAGAAGAGAATGAGAAGAAGAAATCTTTGTAGAGAGATGTGTCTATGTCAATGAATGCATTGGGCAGCAATGGATTAATAAGATACCCCACAAAACAGATGCCATTTAAAGGGAAGGCAGTGGTGTCGCAGACTCCATCATTAAAAGGTGGGTACCTTGCATGGAATAAAATATAGACAACATGTTTGTGTAACAGATGGAGCTTACAAAGACATAATATTAGTCTTTTGAAAATTTATTATTCCATGCACACGTCAGGGGAACAGTATTTATGTAGTACTATATATATATATATATATATATATATATATATATATATATATATATATATATATATATATATATATATGGGAAAAATGAATATACATTACAGCACCACCTAAGCTTAGGTACTAAACCTCTTGAAAATACATTGTTTTACTATATAAAGATTACGGTTAATGGATTCACGATTAATACTTCAAGATATAAATTCAAGATCGACACAATAGAGTTTAGGGTTTAGATTTAGGGTTTAGGGTTTAGGTTTAGGTTTAGGGTTTAGGGTTTAGGGTTTAGATGTAGGGTTTAGTGTTTAGGTTTAGGGTTTAGGGTTTAGATTTAAGGTTTAGGGTTTAGATTTAGGGTTTAGGGTTTAGGTTTAGGGTTTATGGTTTAAATTTAGGGTTTAGGGTTTAAGTTTAAGGTTTAGTAATGTTCACTTGGGTGAAATAATAAACGATAATTGAGGAAAGAAAACAGAGATGGTAAAACGATAATGAAAGAAAGAAATGTTATGGAGGATGATATATTTACCAAGTGAAACCAAATCGGGTATATTTAGCATGTTAAAACGACATATTTTAGAAGTTTAGTACCTAAGCTTAGGTGAGGCTGTAATGTATATTCCCTATCCCCTATATATATATATATATATATATATATATATATATATATATATATATATATATATATATATATATATTATAAATTCGACGTAATTAAAATTAAAACTAACAAACTAGATTAAAACATTATAAAATAAAATAAAGCAGTAGATTTGAGAGGATTCTTGAACACCACAACAAGAAATAATCCATTTGATCGTGACCGTACGTTGCTATACCGATCCATCGGTTAGGGTTTCATTTCATCGGAGGTAATAGAGGCGACACCAATTGCGACGACATGTCACCGCTATTGATGGTGATCCGCGTGAATGTCATCGTGACCGTTCGATTATTTTTGGATCGGACGACTAATAATCATGACAGAAAGGCGTGTGTTTTTCCCTCCAACTTGTCGTCGCTATTGCCTCGGTGTCGCCGCTAAAGGTAACGCCCTTTTGACCCCCCCTCGTCCCAGACGACCCGGTTCCTGCGTTGTCTCCTCCTTCTCGCAAAACTCTGACGACCAACGTTCTCTGGTGCGATTTTCCGGCGTAGTACACCAATACAAACCACCACTAACCATAGATTGCTTCTAGGCCTTCATTTTCCGGTGATTTCCCACGTTTTCCAGCGATTTCCGACGTTTTCCGGTGAATTCCGAGTTTTTCCGGCGACAATAATCCTCCGGTAGCGTGAATTTTCTCTTCCCTTTTCTCTTTCTCTTGTTTTCTTACCAATATTTCATTATTTCAGTGCTTTTAAGGTAATCTCCGTTGAATACCACCATCACAGTGCGATCGTTGTCACCACTAACTTCAATTTCCGGCGACTGGTCGTATTTTCCGGCGACATGTCTCATTTTCCGGCGACAGCAGGTTCTTCTTTCTTTTTTTGTGTTCTTAATGTATATGAAATGTATGTGCAATGTATATATTTTGGTATGTGAAATGTGTATATTTTTGTATGTGAAATCTATATGAAATGTATGAACATGTATGCAAAAATGTATATGCAAATGTGTCTGTGTGAATATGTATGAAAAAATGTATTTGTATGTGTATGTATGAAAAAGTGCATGTGGAAATGTGTGTATAAGTGTATTTCTATGTGAAATGTGTGTATATGTGTATATATATGAACAAATGTATGGGAAAAAATATAAGTGAAAATGTATGTATATGAAATGTAGGCATTTTTATGTGAAAATGTAGGTGTTTATATGTGAAATGTATATATGTATTTCAATATGAAATTTATTTGTATGTATGAAAAAATATATGTGAAAAAATGTGTATAAGTGTATTTGTATGTGTGTATATTGTATGTTCTGATAGAATATGTGTATATTGTATGTTATGATAAAATAAGTGCATTTGGTGGTTTAATAGTTTTTTAAATTGTTACCGACTTAATTTGTTTGGTGGTTTGATGGTTTGATGGTTTGTTAAATTGTTAATGACTTAATATGCTTGTGACTTAATTGTAGAATGTTGATGTGAATGCTTTTCTTCAAAACCCGGCGTTTGTGACGGCCATTTGAGACATTACCCGCTCATTTAAAAACCAAGTCAACAACGAGGAACACAACGATGGGGAAGACGCAAACACATAGTATTTCTTGTTTTATGTTATGGATGATGTTATTTTGGATTTATTAGATAGTTTATGGATGATATATTAGATTTTTATATGGGATTTATTAGATAGTTTATATAATGTGGTATATTTTATGTTTTATGTAATGTGGTATGTACTTTTACTAAAGTTGCATTTTATAATATATACAAACTAATATCATAAATAAATTGTTTTTTCAAAAAAAAAAAAAATCATTAGCAGCGACACCTTTAGGGACGACATTGACCAATTGCGACGACAACTGATTCCGGGAAGATTAGCCGGAAAAACTCCGACTGGTGGCCGGAATATTAATAGAGACGACGCCAATAGCGACGACATTGACCATTTAGCGACAACGAGTATTAGAGACGATGCTATTTGCGACGACAAACGAGTATTAGCTATGAGGTAATAGCGGCGACAAGGGGCATCAATTGCGACGTTTTTTGTCGTCACTAAAGGTTACGTTTTTTGTTGTGCACATAGAAGATTATCTTCAAGATGGTGTGTTTTTCTCTTTACATTTGATGGGTATTTATACTTCATAACATCCTATTCATACATCATTAAAATAGTAATTCAATATGTAAAGGAAATTATTCAAGGGGTGAAAATTGTTCATTCACATGCATTGTCTAACTTAATAATTTGATGTAATCTGAGTTCAACCTTGAAGTACTGTCTCATTAAAAACCTTACTAAAGAAACCTAGTGGGAAAAGAACTTTAACGAAGGGAAAAAGAGTGTAGTATATAGTTGACTCCCCTTCATTTAGACATATGTTACGTTACATTTTATGCACAAGTAGCATTACGATGCCATGTACATGTTTTCTGAATATTGCAGCAGGAAGTGCTTTCGTGAAGAGGTCTGCTACATTGTTGTTGGATTGAACATATTCTATCTCAACCTTTTGATCTTTTATAAGCTCTTAAATGTACTCAAAAAACTTTGGAGGTATATGTTTTGTTTTGTCGCTCTTGATATATCATTCTTTCATTTGAGTGACACATGCTGAGTTATCTTCATAAATTAAAGATGGAACTTTATCTTTATCTAGTCCACATGAACACAAAATGAGTTGTCTCATCGATCTTAACCATGTGCATTCTCTACTAGCTTCATTTAGTGCAATTACTTTAGCATGATTTGAGGATGTGGCGACAAGTGTTTTCTTTTGAGAGTGCCAGGAAATTTCGGTGCCTCCCTTCATGAATACGTATCTAGTTTGAGATCTAGATTTATGAGGATTAGATAAATAGCCTGCATCTGCATAACCAATCAAACCTTGTCTTGAATCATTAGGATAAAATAACCCTAAATAGTACTTCCTTGAAGGTATCACAAAATATGCTTAATCCCATTCCAATGTCTTTTTGTTGGGGATGAACTGAACTTTGCTAGCAAGTTTACAGTGAAAGAAATGTTGGGTCTAGTACAATTAGTAAGATATATAAGAGCCCTAAATGCATTTAGATATGGTACTTCTGGACCAGGAACTTCTTCATTTTCTTCGGGGGGACGAAATGGATCTTTGTCAATATTCAATGATCTAACAACCATTGGGGTGCTTAAAGGATTGTCATTGGCCATATTGAAACGTTTCAAGACTCTTTCTATATAATTTGATTGATGCACAATTATTCTGTTAGGCATATGCTCAATCT